GGCTCTGCCGCTGGACCCCCTTCAGGCCTGCTGCCACCGGCTCTGCCGCTGGACCCCCTTCAGGCCTGCTGCCACCGGCTCTGCCGCTGGACCCCTTCTGGGCCTTTTGCTGTCTTCAGTGTTACAGCCTTTGACCTGTATTACAGTTCCTTTAGGAGATTCCTCACCTCCTCTCTCTCTGCTTCTCTCTCCTTGCCTCTCTTGCCTTTTCTTCTTTCTGCCTTCCTGAAACTTCTGTGAGGTTGGCTGTATATATATCAAACTCTGTCAGCTTCAAAGTATGGCCCTCTTTGCAGGGCCATGAATTGGCCAATCCCCTCAGTGGACCATAGTCACTTCATTTGCATAGTTTATAGTATATTGAACAATCCCTGTAATGTGTGTAAAATAGACCAATCACAGGGCAGGCTGCAGCCCAGGACCAGACAAAAAGTATCAAACCGTCAAATCGTTTACAGTTTACCCAAGAAAGAGCAATCAACCTGGACAAAAGTATCAAACCCTCTAGGGTAGAAAACTAGGGCAAAGGTAACTCCTCAGGGCTTGGGGGGAAAATCTCTCAAGTTGTTTTTCCAAAGAACAAAGGCAAAAGGCCACATAAAGGGACGTACTTCACTTACGATGTTACTTTCCTTTAAACTGCTTTCTAGCATTTTCACTTTCCGGGAATAGAAAATTCCTATATTCTAGAGAGAAAATAGGAAATAATAGGAGGTAGTGTTTAAGCTGAGCCTACAAAGATGGATAAGATTTCATTAGGCCAACACAAGTAAGTGAGAACATATTGGATGAAGACCTGCAATTATTTTGAACTGAATGATAGTGAAAACACAACATATCAAAATTTGTAGGGTACAGCTAAATAGTGCTTAGAGGGAAAATGCCAGAACCCACTATGTGTATTATGCTGGCAGCTTTACTGTCTCACAATCCCAATGTACATTTAAGGCCCAAAGAGATTAAGTAACTTGTCCAGGATCACTCAGCCAATCTGGAATTCAAAGCCAGGTCTGCCTGATTCCAAAGCATACAAATTATCAGAATATTTTTATTATCCCTTCTCCGTCTTGAAGCCTTCATGGCAAAGTGTTTTATTATTTTCTTTCCTAGGAGGAAGTAAATAAACCAGATGTGCATTTGAAAGATCTTCCAAATGGAGAAGAGATTGATGACCCACTGATGGTTCTACACGCAATCTTATCAGAGGTAGTGTGTGTATATATACATGTATTTGTGTGTCTGCAGAGAATATGGTGCTGTTGGCCATGAGTTCAATCTTAATGAATCAACAATATATGTTAAATAAGGTGTCTTTATGAGGCTTTGGGGGTAGAGTTCTCACCTTCCATGAAGGAGACCTGGGTTCAATCCCTAGCCAGAGCACCTCATGCTCAGCCAACTCCCATCCATCAGTGGAGGCCTGCATATTAATGTGATGGTGAAGGAAGGAGCCCTGCAGGCTGCTAACCAAAAGGCAGGCAGTTCTGTTCGAACCCACCAGCCGCTTCTTGGGAGAAAAGAGCTGGCAGTCTGCTCCCGTAAAGGTTACAGCCTGGGAAACCCTATGGAGCAGTTCCGCTCTGTCCTGTCGGGTTGCCGTGAGTTGGAATCAACTTGACGGGACACAACAACATGATGGTGAAGAGGTTTCAGCAGAGCTTCCAGACTAAGACAATCTGCTTCTGAAAATCAGCCCGTGAGAATCCTGTGGATCACTGCAGCCCGAGCTGCAGCCAATCATGGGGCTGGCACAGGACCAGGCAACGTTTTGTTCATTTGTTCATGGGTCTCCATGAGTCAGTGGCCAGCTTGACAACAGCTAACAACAACAACAACAAGGTGTCCTTAATCAGAAGCACACGTGTATTTCTCTGTTGACGAAAGTGATGTGACCAGATTCTGGCAAGAACCTAAGCTGTATTTCCCGAGGGAGCAGTGGTTCAGTATTTGCTAAGTCAGTGTTCATGGTGACTTTGTAGAACGTAAGTACTGTGACTATTATTATTCTTACTGTTTTGCAGTTTAGTATTTTCCTATATTGTCCTTTTGTCCTTCAGGTCTGTAGGACCTGAAGTTTTGTCTCCTTATTTATTCCTGATATTGATGTCTTAAGTATATGACTTTTAATTTTTTTTTATAACCCTGTTTTAAATATGTTAGATCTCCTTTCACTTATTCATTCATTCTTAATAAATGATTTTTCATACTTCCTACCAGAGACGTAGGAGTCCCTGGGTGGTGCAGATGTTTAAGCACTCAACTACTAGCTGAAAGGTCGGTGGTTTGAACCTACCCAGAGGCCCTTCAAAAGACAGACCTGGGGATCTGCTTCCTAAAGGTCACAGCTTTGAAAACCCTATAGAGCACAGTTCTGCCTGACAGACATGGGTCTCCGTGAGTCAGAATCAACTCGGTGGCAACTAACAACAACAACCAAGGACTTGGACTGAGTCCTTTAACTACCAATATACAATATCTGTGGCCACTTCTTACCCTCCTTTTAAACTTGTTTATACTTCAAAAAATTCGAGAAATTAGTAATCTTTTTTTTTTTTTTTTTTTTGCACTTAAGTGTTTCTTCTAAAATTCCTACATATCAGGAATACATTAAATGTCAGAATACTCCTTGGGTTTTGCTTTTTAAATGATTAAACTTTGGCATGTGGAAAATGGCATAGTTCGGGTTTTCTAAACTGTGGCTTAGTCTGCTTTTAAAAAACTTTATTTTGGAAAAGTTTTGATTAATCTGCTTACTAGTTTGCTGTTATACATATGTTTAATTAGATATAATCCCATTAGTTCCTTTGAACTCTTAACTGTTGTAATTATTTCTCATCAGATTTTTCTTAAATGACTGTTTCTTTCATAAGGAGGAGAGTAATCTACTTCCTGTTGATCAGCTGGGCCAGAAGCTCTTGAAAAAGATAGGTCTGTCTTGGAACAAGAAGTACAGAAAACAGTATGGACCACTGCGAAAGGTAATCTATGGGGTCATCATAGGAAGTCCTAGTCCCAGAAATCATTTTGTTATGATCTCAGTAACACAAATTCTGCAGAAGGATATTTAAAATAGGTTAAAACAAAATCAGTATTTTTGTCTAATAGCTAGAATTCAGCTGTTAAATAACTTTATGTATCATAGAGCCAAGAAGTAAATAAAGGGAAGGGGCTCCTAATCACAACAGCAAAAAAAAAAAAAAAAAAAGTTGTCAGAAAGATCATACCCTAAAGCTTATCATTTAAAATGATTAGATCAAAATTTCAGTATTTCCTTTTAAATATGGTATTAGCTGTGTAGGTTTTGTTGTTGTTTCGTAAGTATCCATTATAAATTTGATGAGGTTCCCTTTTATTCCTAGTTGACTAATAGTTTTTATCTTGAATAGAGGTGGAATGTCATCAGATGTTTTTTGTTTATTTGTTTTTTGCATCTATCGATGCACTCACATGATTTTTCTCTTTTTTTCTATTAATGTGGTGAATTATATTGCTTGATTTTTTTTCATTGTTAAGCCAGTCTTAAATTCCTGGAGTAAGTCATACTTGTTTATGATATGTTTTTATATATTGCTTTTCTTAAACGTCGGATAGTAAATATTTTAGGCTTTGTAGGCCAAGAGGTAAAGTCGAGGACATTAGATAGGTACCTATGTAGTGTTTTAAAAAGTAACCATTTGAAAATGTAAAGACCATTCTTAGCTTGGGGCTATATAAAAACAGACAACAGGCCATATTTGGCCCACAGTCTAGTTTGCCAACTTCTGTCTTAAGAGAAAGAACCATGCCCCTGGACTAAGAACTAACTCCCTAGGACTAAAGGCAAAATTACAATAGACCCACCCTAAGAAAACTCAAAATGAAGTTTCCATAGGATCAAGATGGTTCAAAGGTAATTCAGCCCCTTGTTAGACACAGTGTAAAACTCTTCAGAAAAAAACAACATAATCTAGTTTTTACAACATATCATTCAAAATATCCAGCCTACAGTATAAGATTACATGACATGCACAGGACAGTGTGGTCCATAATCAAGAGACAAAACAGTCAACTCATAAGAGAAAAAAGAATCAGTAGAAACAGACCTACAGATAATCCAGATATTATGAGAGCAAATTAGTATTATCGGTCCTCACAAATAATACTCGTGAGTCGAGAGTTGTTAGTACCACAGGTTATTTTTTTTCCAAGAGAAAGATGAGAAAAAACCCTTTCCATATTGATTGACAGAGAAAGTGAATGTTACATATAGCTTCCATGCAATTTTCTATACAAAGTAAATCTGTACTGAGAGAGAAAAGGAGTTGATGCAAGGCTGCATAGAGGTTGAGAGGAGAGGAGAGAGGAGTAGGGATGGGGAGGTAGCGATAGGTGAGATTTTTTTTCTCTCAATCCTTTAGCAAGCAGAATTTGAGAAAGAGTCTTTGGGATCGTGAGTCGGAATTAACTTGATGGCACATAACAACATGCTTTGATTTCCTGAGCTAGCCTTTCAGTTTCTAGGAGAGACAATATTCAGTTTAGTTAATGTTAAAATTTACTTCAGACTGCACAGCCGATTAATGTAATTGCTGTCAAGTAAGTTGTACACCTGTAAAAAATGGAATTGGCAAAACTTGTGTGCTAGATATATTTAGAACAATGACAAAAAAAAAAAAAAAGAGTAGCTGCTGAGGCTGCTTCTGTACAGCCAAACATCTTATGGGATTTGGTTCCTTGGTTTGGAAGTTTAGGATCATGATTCCATGGAGCATTCCAGTTAATTGGCTAAATAACATGTTCAGTGTTTCGGCTCTACCTTAGTTTGTTGCATAGTGCTTGTGGTCCTAAAAACTTGCAAACAGCCATCCAGGGCACAACAATGGGTCTCTATTCACTTGGAACAACAGAGGAAGGAGAGTCAGGAATAGGAGGAAGAAATGGAACGTGAGGCTAATTCCCTCCTTTGCCGTGAGACCAGAAAAACTGGAGAGTGCCCAGCTACCATTACTGAACATTTTGATCAAACATTCCATAGAAGAATCCTGATCAAAAGGGGGAAAATTCAGAACGAAATTTCAAATTCTCACGGACTCCAGATTTTCTGAGCCGTGGAGGCTGGATGAACCCCAGAAACTATTGCCCTGAGATAGTCTTTAAACCTTAAACCAAAACTATGCCGTGAAGTCTTAAAACCAAACAATAGTTTAGCTTAACTGGTAAAGAATGTCTGCCTTGAACATTGTGCTCTTTTGAGATCTATCTGTATGGGATAAAATTGACAACAGCAGCTGGAAAGATTAGATAGGAAACTTAGGGGGTCATGAGTACATGTTAATGGAGGAGGGACAACTCAGGAAATGAGGGTGAGAATGGTTGCACAACTCAACGAATGTAATTAAAGTCACTGAATTGTACATGGAGAAATTGTTGAATTGGTGTATGTTCTGCTGTGTATATTCTCAACAACAACAGAAATAAATTATTAAAAAAAAGATACTTTAGGCTTTCAGTTATTTATCTCAACGTATCTGTCTGGGTCACTAGTTTTCATATTATCGTCCGTAGTGTTGTGCTGTGTGATTGCTTTTATTTTGTAGTTTAGATTTCTCTTAAACGTTTCAAAAGTGTTTGTTCTCCCTAATCTGTGCCAGCAAAATAAGATAGCATTATTGAGGTTTAATTAAAATACTTCTTAGATTGTTGCATGACAGCTTTGTGCCTTGATAAAACCAGTAGACTGTTTAACAGAGAGCAGTCTGATTTTTATTACATATCTTATTATGGCCCAAATGGATTTTTTCCCCTAGCTGACCAGGCCAAAAATAAAGATGAAGTTAAAATAATGTAACTGCAGAAGGAAGAGAACATTTTTTTTTTATCACGTCTTATGTAAAAACATGTTTGCTAACCTAGTATTGGGTTTTTTTGTTTGTTTCTTTGTAGTTCTTACAGCTCCATTCTCAGATATTTCTACTCAGTTCAGATGAAAGTACAGTTAGTCTGTCAAAGAATTGTTCTCTGCAGCCCAAGTCGGATTTCCAACGGAATGCTCATCGAATTTGCAAGCCACCGACTTCAGAATCCCCAAGGTTAAATGATAGCACATCCTGCCCCCACTGGTTTGATATAAATGATTCCAAAGTCCAGCCAATCAAGGAAAAGGATATTGAACAGCAGTTTCAGGGTAAAGAAAGTGCCTATATGTTGTTTTATCGGAAATCGCTGTTGCAGAGACCCCCTGAAGGTATGGAAAGAGAAATATTCCTACTGGTTTTATTAAGTTCATTAATTAACTTAGAATATAAACACTTTCATCTTTAGACGATAAATGCCAATGTTATTTGAATTTTTTTTTACACTTTTTAAATAATGTTTACTCTTAAAATACAAGAAATACATTATGCCAAATGAAATCTAGCAATCTGTCATTTATAAAGATCAGATATTTCTACTTAATTTTTCCCCTGTAATAGTAATGAGCTCAGAAATATATTTTCTGTCTCTACATCGAGTTAGGTTTTCAAAAGTGGATTTTCTTGGATCAAATAATATTTTCCCATTCTGTTCAGAAACTTGCGTAGGATTTCTCTATGCTCAGGTTTGCTCTGTGATACGGCCGTGTGTGCCTTTGAGTCATGAAAGTGGCCAGAGTCTTATTTTCATATCTTCTCTTTTATTTTTCTTTCTGCTTTTCCCTCAAGATAATGCTTGAGGGAAAATTCAAATTTCCATTCTCTGAGCAACTGAAATATCTTTGAGGCATTCTTGGTTGAGCTTTCTAAGGGAACTAACACCATGGAGGTTAACTGTTGAGATCCACGATAATAAAGAGTATTTTTGAACCAAGCCATTAACATGAATAAGTCAGAAGACTTTAATCACTTTCCAGACTACTCAAGTAAAAAATCCCAACTAGGAAAATTCTAGATTAAGAAATAACTATGATTAGAAATGAGGATACTATTCTTAGGGAATAGTGACCATTTTTATAAAGAATAAGAATAAAGCAGTTGGTAGTTTGCATGTGGAGCAAAGGAAGTAAACACTCAGATATGAAATAATTACATAACTTTGCTGTTAGCCAGAAAGGGCTTTGTATTTTCCTGGGGGAAAAATGTAGTAATGGTTCAGATAAAAATATTGTGCAACAGAATTCACATTTAGAAAAATATATATTCACAGAAAAAGAATATCTTCAGATGGAGTATTTATCTTTTTAACTGGATTGAATTTTAGCATGAATATATTTGGAAAATGTACTGAACAACAGGTTTCTGGTTACTTAGGAATTTAATAGAGATCCAGCCCAAATCTTAATGGACTTTTTTTTGGGGGGTGAAGGGACAGAACTTGACAAAATGATTTTGAAATTCACCCAGAAAGATAAAGTAATAAAAACTGAATAAAGGACTACTGAGGGAAATTTTGCTCTGTCAATAACAACATATTTATAAAGCTGTAGCAATTAAGACAATGTCGTCCTGGTGCAAAGAGGTGATCCAGATCATTGAAATAGAGCAGGAAGCCCAGAAATTGGCCTAGGTATATTTAAATTTTAATCCATAATAAAGTAGCTTTTCAGATATATGAGAGAAAAGTGAATTAATAAATACAACTAGAAGTTGGTTAGCTGCTAGAAATATAATGCATTTTCTTTTATTATACTAATCACTTAAATGAAATTATAACTCCTTTATATTTTATGTGAAAAAGGTGCCTTAATGTGAATAAAATATAAGTATTTATCTGATCTTAAGGTAGAGAAGACCTAAGCTTAAATGCAAAGAAAAAATTAAGGAAAAGTAATATAAACCTTCAACAAAATTAAAAGGCAAATGGAAAACATTAGTAAAATATATGACAAATGTATTTCCCCTATCTGTAGAGTGCTCTTAAGTATATTTCATTGTGTTCAGTAGTAAACTGCGAAAAGGATATAAATAGGCAATTTACAAAAGAAGAGATAGAAACTACTAATAAACTGCAAAAGATATGTTTTTTCTCAGCCTAACCCCTAATCAAGGAAAAGTTAATTGCAACAGCAGTGAGACGCCATTTATTTCCTGCCAACTCAAGTAATCTGGTTCTCAACAGTCAATACTTCCTATACAGCTAATAAGAATGTGAATAGTACAACCTATTTGGATGCATGTACTTTAAAATCACATCCTTTAAACCAGTAGTTCTACAAATTTGTCTTGAGGAGATAATCAGAGCTGTGCACATGTATTTATGTTCAAAGATACCTGTTGTACATTACCTTGAGGGAAAAGAAAAAGACTTTATAATAGTGATTAATTGGAAACAACTAAATGTCTAACAAAAAGAGACTGGTTAGATTAATTATGCTACTTATAGAATGGATGACTAATCACTCATTTATTTAAGGCTTGAAGGAGCCCCGGTGATGCAGTGATTAAGTGTTCAGCCGCTAAATGAAAAGTCAGCAGTTCAAACCCACCAAATTGGCTTTGCAGGAGGAAGACCTGGCAATCTGCTCCCATAAAGATTACAGCTTAGGAAACCCTGTGGGGCAGTTTTACTCTGTCATGTGGGGTCACTATGAGTCAGCATCAACTCAACAGCACACAACAACATTGAAAGCTTTAGAAGAATGGTCACAATATTTGAAATGAAAAGACAAGTTACAAATTTGTTGACTATGATCCCAGTTGTTTTTAAAAAGTGTGTCTGTGTGTGTGTATGTGTTGTGTGAGTATGCAAAGACCCACTACATATATATGGAAACAAAGATGAGAAGTGTAGATACCAAATTTTAGCAGTGGTTATTTCTGGGGAGTGGGATTACAGGTGGTATCTATTTCTTTTACACTTCTAAAAATAATTTCCAGAATTTTTACAGTGACCAGCAATTACATTTGTAATCAGGAAGAAAATACTGAACAAATTTCATTGGTCAGCACAAGTTAATGATAAGTTTTATTCACAGCTCGAGCTAATCCAAGATACAAGGTTCCATGTCATTTGTTGAGTGAAATGGACGCAGCCAACATTGAACTGCAAACAGAAAGGTAACCTTAAATTACCTAGAGAGTTTGAGTGGTTTTTCTGGAGAATGAAGATCTAATTTAGGCCTTAAGCATTCAGTAATGAAAATTAAAAAGAGAAAAAGGAAGTCAATGCCAGTGTCTGTGTAGCTGCTGAATTTTTATGAGGCCATCTTTTTCTTTAGAATTATCCTTATCTATCAGAGTGACCTAAATAGTGGCACATAAAGTAGCAATTCCTAAATAGGAATTGAGACCTAAGATGAGAGATTGGTGAGCACACAGTTGCACTAAATGAATTATCTTCTGGTGTGGCCAGATTATTCCCTTAGGTACAAAGAAAGCCTGCCATTAAAATCACTCCTTGTATTTAAGTTGTGGAGAACTGGGATGTGGTAACAGAAGACCAGAGGTGGGCAGGTTTTCAAAAGGAAATGTGGATTCTACAAACTGTTGGGCTTAATGTCAGTCTTGGGCAGAAACCTATCATGGATTCTTAAAAGGGTTGTTTGTGAGAACCTGATGGTCTCAGCATTCTCTTGGGGCCTAACGTTGGACCCTGAAGAACTGGTTCTTTTTTTGTTCTCTGACAGTCAGTAGTGTTTAGGGTTAGAGAAATGCAGGATATTTAAAGATGTTCCCTTGGTCTCCTGGTAGAACCCACCTGGCTGAATATGCGGCAGGACTGTGTTCAACATTTTTATAGCTGACTTGGAGCTGGGAGAAAAAAAGCAGTATATCAAATGACAAACCAAAATTGAAGAAAATCTCAACAAAAACAAACTAAAAAGATAAAAACAGAGAGAATTATCTTAAGTGTGAAAAATAGCTTGCATGATTAGTATGGATTAGCAGCAGGTATCAGACAAACAAACACTAAAGAGATTTTAGCCAGCACTAAGCTCTTTAATGGAGCCCTGGTGGCCCAGTAGTTAAATGCTATGGCTGCTGACCAAAAGGTCGGCAGTTCAAACCCACCAGCCACTCCTTGGAAACCCTATGGGGCAGTTCTACTCTCTCCAACAGGGTCCCTATGAGTTGGAATCGACTCGATGGAAATGAGTTTGGTTTTGGGTTGTTTTTTTTTTTTTAGGCTCCTTAATATAGTTAATCAGAAAAGCTAATGCTGTCTTTGACCACGTTAATAGAATTGTATCTCACGCACTCGAATCATGGCAGTAGCCTCATTCCACCTCTATGTTGGTCAGACTCTGTCTAGAGTAAATGACACCAGGCTTCAAGGCAGTTCTCTGGATTCAGAGAAGAGCAGCCAGCGTGCTGCTGCTGCTGCTGCTGAGGACAGCTAACCTGGAGAAAGTCAGACACCAGAGAATAGTGAGAGCGACTTCGAATACTTTATAGGAGGGTCTAGGGAGTCCAGTGAAAGTATGGATGAAATAGAAGTTTATAACTGGCAATTATATGAGCACGTTTCTAGCATTTTGTTCATGGCTATAATATAACCTCAGGCCTGGAAGATTCCGGGTGTCAGTATTTGTTCAGAGCAATGTGGTAACGTGGCACAGTCTATGTTAAAACAATTTTTCCTTGAATTCACAGTGGCAGTTAGAGGTAAATTTTTGCTCTTTAGTGAGAAACTAAAAGGAATTATTTTTGGAGCATGGAAGAAAAGATCTTAATTACTTAGGTGGAATGGAGAACTTACTTATATTGTAAATAAAATATGTTTGCTTTGAAATGAACCACAGGATCTGTAGTTACGTATTTTTTTGTGCCTGTTTTAAAGGGCAGAATGTGATTCCGCAAACAATAATTTTGAATTGCATCTCCATCTGGGCCCTCATTATCATTTCCTGAATGGGGCTCTGCACCCAGTGGTCTCTCAGACAGAAAGCGTGTGGGACTTGACCTTCGATAAAAGGAAAACCTTAGGAGATCTTCGACAATCAATATTTCAGGTAATTTAGCCTTACTTCCTCTTAGTTTAGACATTAGAGGCCATCTCAGGCTAGATTCTCCCTTTCATCCTATTTAGGATCCAGCTATTTACTTTTCAAAGGTCTTTAGGAGAATCCAGTATCTGCCACTTCATGGAAACCCTGGTGGCATAGTGGTTAAGAGCTGTGGCGCTACTTCCGTAGAGTTCTCCCATGCTTGTAAGTCTGTCACAGGGGCTTTTCTGCTCAGGCAGGCTCACACCGTTCCTGCCAGCAGTTTTTCAGGTGGAGAAGCAAGCCTGGTACATTTTATTTGGGGAGGAAGAGCATAAGGTTATCTCCCTTTTAGAAAATAAAGAGAATTGTTTCTGAAAAGGAGTGAAAAAAGTAAGGATGTTGCCTAAAACCAAGAACTACCAAGCAAATAAAAGCAACTAATTTTTCTACCTTTCAGCATAGAATAGCATTTATTCATAAGATTCCCAAGTGAAGAAAAATATTTACTAGTCTCTAGTAAAAAGAAACATTGTTGTAATCATTCTCTGCAAATAATGTATCCAACTGTATTTTAATGATAATTTTAATAATACTCTTCCTCTGACTTGTAAAGCTTTTATATACATTATGTCATTTGTTTCTTTAACTTCATGAGGACAAACTAACCCCATTTTGAAGATGAAGGACTTGTGTTTAAAGAGACCCAGTGGCTTGCTGTGGTCAGATGTCCAGTTAAGGTAGAACCGGGACTCCAGCGCTGAACTCCTTACTGTTTGTCTGGTGTTCTTTCCTATTCACTGAACAACTTGTCCCACTCTACTGCTTGATCAAGGACAAGGAAAATAGAAAATACAAACTTTTTTCTTTTTCCTAGAAATAAATGAATTTTCTGAAGACTTGTGTCACTCACTAAAATTATTAGCTTTGTTTTGATCTGCCTCTTGTACTAAGAAAAGCAATTAAATCAGTTTCTTTTTTTTAACATTGATTGATTTGAAAGATATTTATGTTAACCTTGTATCCTGCAATCTTACTATAATTGCTTATTAGTTTCAAGAGTTTTTTTGGTCGATTCTTGGGAAATTTCTGATTCTTGGGAAATCATATTATCTGCAAAAAAAAAGACAGTTTTATTTCTTCTTTCTCAGTCTGTATACCTTTAATTTCCTTTTCTTGTTTAATTGAATTAGCTAGGACTTCCAGTACAGTGTTGAATAGGAGTGGTCAGTGTAGATATCCTTGTCTTCTTGATCTTAACGGAGAAGCATCTGGTGTCTCACCATTCAGTATGACGTTCGCTGTAGGTTTTTTCTTGATGGTCTTTATGAGACTGAGGAAGTTCCCCTCTATTCCTAGTTTGCTGAGAGTTTTTATCATGATTGGGTGTTAGATTCTGTCAAATGCTTTTTTTCTGTCTATTGACAATCATTTGATTTTTCCCCTTTAGCCTGTTGATGTGATTAATTATATTAATTGATTGGCGAATGTTGAACCAACCTTGTATACCTGGGCTAAATCCTACTTGGTCACAGTATATAATTCTTTTTACATATTGTTGCATTTGTTTTGCGAATATTTTGTTGAGATTTTTGCATCTATGTTGATGAGAGTTATTGATCTGTAATTTTCATTCCTAGTAATGTCTGCCCACTTTGGTGTTAGGGTAATGCTGACCCTGAGGAATGAGTTGGAAAGTGTTCCCTCATCATCTATTTTTAGGAAGGGTTTGAGAAGGATTGGTGTTAATTCTTCTTTCAGTGTTTGATAGAATGCATCAGTGGATACATCTGGACCAGGTGCTTTCTATTTTGAAAGGTTATTAATTACAGATTCAGTTTCTTTAATAAATAAAGAACTATTCATCTATTTCTCCTTGTGCGAGTTTTGGTACATTGTGTCTTTCAAGGAGTTGGTCCATTTCATCTGAGTTATCAAATTTACGTTATTCATAGTATTCCTTCAATGTCCAGGGATCAGTTGTGATGGTCCCGCTCTCATTTCTGATATTAGTACAGTGAAACCTGTGAGAGCCAGAACTCGACAGGATTGCCTTGATTTTCCAGGTCTTGCAAGTTTTCCACCTTTGACAGAGTGCGGTCTTAGCATTTTTCTGTTATTCTGTATCAGTGGAAGATATTTGAGTTTCGCTTCTCTGACAGGTTGCCGCCTTACACAGGTTCCAGCTTTTACAGGTTTTACTGTAGTTTGTGTCTTCTCTTTTTTCTTAGTTAGCCTGGCTAGAAGTTTATCAATTTTGCTGATTTGTTTTAAAAGAACCAGCTTTTGGCTTCATTGATTTTCTCTATTAATTTCCTGTTTTCAATTTCATTGATTTCTGCTCTGATTTTTATTATTTCTTTTCTTCTGCTTACACTGGAATTAATTTGTTCTTCCTTTTTGAGTTACCTAAGGTGGAAGCTTAGATTATTGATTTTAGATCTCTCTTCTAATATATGCATTCAATGCTATAAATTTCACTCTAAGCACTGTTTTTGCTGCATCCCACAAATTTTGGGAAGTTGTATTTTCATTGTGGCCTGAGCGCATACTCTGTATGATTTCTAGTCTTTTAAATGTATTAAGATGTGTTTTATGGGCCAGGGTGTGGTCTGCATTGGTGACTGTTCCACGTGAGCTTGAGAAGCATGTGTATTCTGCTGTTGTTGGAGAATTAAGGATATTTAAACAGTGGATCAGTGTCAGCATTTCTAAAACTGTCTAATATTTCTGAACTTTTTTGCCTTGAAAGTTTGTTTCTGAGCTAATTCTGGCAGTTTTGATATAGGTTGACTTGGGGATCTGAAATGAATCTGTGACAGTTCAAGGGGGAAGACAAATACCTTCAGAATTCACCTTCCTCAGGTCTACGTTCACTCCATCTATGCTGCTTGGGGTTCAGAGTGTACATATCTAGTACCTGTTCGCGCAGAAATGAGCCTCTGTCAGGACTGCAGTCGGCACAATAAATTAATTACTTAGAAATATGAGATGATATTTTTATGAGAAATGTTTTATGGTATTGTGGAGAATGACTAGATTGAAATGACCTTTATGAGTCATTATTTTGGTGAGATTATCACAGTTCCCAGAGTCTCAGATCTAGAAACGTGTAGAATACGTCCCCAGGATGTATGTATCGTAAAGACCAGTAATGCCGCTTTGTACATTGACAGTGGGAGATGTGCCTTTCAAGTAATTAGAATATTTGTGTGTGAGAGAGTCCATGCTGCTTTTTCCTGAACAGTGCTGACTAAACAAATGATTTTTGCTCTTTTTTGGGGGAGGGGGAGAGGGGTCCCTTTTCCTAGACTGGCATGCTGATCACATTGCCTTCTGATCAAGTGGTCTTCACATAGATTAAGCAGAATTGTCCAGATGGTTGTTGTGCTTTTTATGTGTGTCAGAGTCCTTTAGTCAGTAGTGGATGAGAGTACCCGTCTTTGGATTTTACCAGTTTAACGAGTGATGTCTTATTTCCAAATGTTGGTGTTGGGTGGGGATGGGAGTATTTATTGCTCCTTCCTCATGTCAACTACATGTGGAAATCATTTAACCTGGAAATACGACACATGTATGTTACTTTTCACTGCTCTCTTTTCTTTTATTAATATCCTTCAGCTCTTAGAATTTTGGGAAGGAGACATGGTTCTTAGTGTTGCAAAGCTTGTACCAGCAGGACTCCACATTTACCAGAAGCTTGATGGTAAGATAAATATGGAAACACAGTAACTCAGTTTATATACTATGTTGTTATGGGGCTCATCTGGGATTTTATACTCTTCGCCAGCCTTTCTTCCTACCTGTACTTCCATAACTATGTATGTAGATTATCACATTGTCAGGTTTTCAAAAACAAACAATTTATCCAATTTTATAATGTATCTAACTTATATAATGTGTGAAATTTTTCTACCATGAATTTTTTTTTTTTTTCCCTGAAGTTTAGGCTACCTCTTTACCTAATTTTTTTTTTTTAAAGGCTTTGGAATTTTTTTTTTTTTTTTTTTACCCACAAATTTTTAGCAACATGATTTGAAATCATTTGAACCTTATTTATATGGCTTGAGTTTCTGCTCAGCTCTCAGCTTCCGATTTTGTAGCAAGTCAACGTGAAGTACTTCAAGAGCTTAAAATTATTTACTTCCTTTAAGTTACAGTAAAAGTAATAGCAGCAGCAGGAACATGTATTTCTGGCTTCTCTGTGCCAGATACTGTAATAAGTGTTTTATGTGAATTATGTCATTTAATTTTCACACAATTAACTGAAGCTTAGAGACTTTAACTACCGTACACTGACATGTACGGGGTGGAGCTGGGATTCAGACCATCTGATGACAAGGCCTTACTCCTGTTCACAATGTCATAAACCTCAGGTACTGCTGACCTTTATATTAACTTTTTCTTCCTGCCCCCATGCTCACAGAGATTATGTACCAACATGGGAAAACGCTTGCAGAAAATTTAAAAAAAAAAAAGATAAAAATAATATAAAATAGTATCAATATAATAAAAATAATTATAAAAATAATTCTGCCTTTTTGTTAAGTTTCCTTAATGAGAATGCTTTTTCCAAGAAATATTTGAGTCGCTCAGCTCTTTCTTTTTATTTATTGATTTATTTTTTGGATGCTTATGATGAATGGTCTCACTGATGGTCTCGTCTTTCCAGGAGATGAGCTGACACTGTGTGAGATGGAAATTGCCAATGGGGAAGACATCTTTGTATGGAATGGGGTGGAGGTAAAAAATACTGAAGAAATAGTCATGACCATTTTGGATTTTTTTCTGAAGCCATTACAATGAAATTTTACTCAGCATATGTGAAGGCCGTTAGATATTAGAAAGCTGCCGTAATGTTCAGTAACTTTTGGGCACAGTCAGTGTTAGTTGCGTGTTAAAGAAATATTTATTGAGCACCTACATCATGCCAGGCAGTAGGTCAGATGTCAGGTGTCCTTCATAGAGTAAATAATGGTATCAACTGTCTGCAAATCTCTGTCATAGTATTTTTTTACCTTAACATGTCCATTGAGCTCATAGGGGACAGGTACAGTGTTTTAGTCTTCTTTGTATGTCCAACACTTAGCTCGGTATCTGGCTCATAGTAGGCACTCTGTAAACATTTGAACTACAAGGGGGGATAAGAACGTAAGTAGATGTGGTGTATTTTCAAAGCAACACAACAGTCAGTGGTGACCGAAGCATAGGGTGGTCAGCCTAAAATAGTGGGAGATAGGCCAAAAGCTAGTCTGTAAAGAACCTGTGAGTTACCATCTCTGCAGCGCATTGTGCTTCATACCTCTGCATAGGCCGCTGCTCCCCTCTTTCTTTAACCTTGTTGACTCCTTTCTTCCTTAAAGGTCCATTTGGGATGTCACCCAGTCTTTGAGACGCTCCTAAACTTCCCCAGGCGGAGCTAGTAACCTTCTCCTACCTTTTTTGGTACTTTGCTATTACATCTGCTTTCATATCTATCATATTCGTTTGTTTTTTTGTAACTAATCTTATTAGATTCAAACTCTGAGTTTTTTGAAGGCAGAAAGTATCTTATTTAACTTTATATCCTTAGCACTTACCACATTGCCTGGTATATAATAGGGATGTCTCAAACGTTTCTAGAATTAGTGGGGGGTGGTGATAGCACTGTCTCAGAAATCCTGGTCTGCTAGTGTTCTTGAGGACCTGTTATATAAATGGTGATAGACCAGCCGCAGTAGGAAATATAGAAGATATTGTCCCTGCTGTAAGGGAACTTAAAATTAGGATGGATTGACCACACAGAAATTGATATTACTTGGGTAATAATACATGACAGAAATACCCATAGCTAATATTTCTGGAGTAGAGCAGTACTGTAATCATTTTAAATGAAGAACTGTTTCATATGGAATGGTAATCTAGGGCATTTGAATAGGTGGAGAGGTTGAATAGAGCCTTCCAGAAGAAGTAGTAGCTGTGAGAAGATGTGTGGTAATGACTGATAAATGCACTTGGCTGGTATAGTTGGTTGACTTGGTGTGTACTTAGGAGGTAAGGTTGGAGAGGGATGTAGGTAGGTTGAGAACTTTGGATCCCAGTCTGAGGAACTAGGATTTCCACTTCTGGGCAGTGAGAATCCTTCCCACTGCTGTGTTTTGGTGCACGATAATAACATGGTGGAGTGCTGTGTTAGGAAGTAACCCGATGTTAGTGGAAGAATCCATTATGTGGAAGATAACTCGGGAGAGCACATCAGTAAGCCAGGTGTATGAAGAGCCAGACTAGTTAACGGTCGTCGAAATGGAAAAAAAGAAAAGATGGATGAGAGAAAGTTTTTAAACAGACATCTGTGAAAATTTTATTTCACTTAAAAAGAAAAGAGGATTGTTCTACAAAAGTAGTCTTTTACTGTGTTATTATACTGACTTAATTTTAACAAATATAAACCATACTAATGGTTGTCTCTGTGTTATTTTATAGGTTGGTGGAGTCCAGATTCAAACTGGTATTGGCTGTGAACCTCTGCTTTTGAATATCCTTCATCGAGCAGCAAGCAGTGAAGGAGAAAGGTGTCAGCAGTTAATAGAATCTGCACATGTCTTTCCATCAAATGCAGAAATGGGCACTATCTTCACAGCCTTATCAATCCCTGTGGGAGTCATCTTAATAAGCAGTGCTGAATCCACGGGCGAAGAGAGCTGGACTGCTGTTCCCAGAGAGGACGTGAAGAAGACGTTCAGAGAGCAGGGTCTCAGCAACGGAAGCTCAGTTTTAATTCAGGATTCTAATGGTGATGATTACAGGTAACTCACTGAAAAGAGAGTCTTCTCTGAAAACGCTGATGCTTTATTTTAATAATGGTAAGAGTTAAATTTCCTCTTTTATTTCTAGACATTGCATTTTAGATATTATAAATAGGAATGTTCTAGGTTTGGCAACTTAGAGAAAAAATGATGCTGTAAAAAGTGATATTTTGGTAAATGTGTAACTAAATAATATAGATATCCTTGGTTTTATTGGTTCAATATAGTCTAGATTACTTGGCTACAAAGCAGAATCCTATCAAGTGAATTCTGATTAGCACCCATTATAAAACTGAAGGCACATTCTCACAAAGAAAATTCCTGAAATTTTTCATTGAAGAAGGTATAAAGATCATAACTAATTCGTGTGTGGATGTTTTGTTACAAGAGTCCCATAAGACAATTCCATTTTTCCTTATAATCCTTTTTATGACTCTCGATCCTCCTGCTGTCCGTATGGGGCTTTGGAGTCGCACCCTTGAGTCCTGTTAATCACGTTTGTAGCTCAGAATCGCTGCCTCTCTGCCTTTGTTATCTTTTCTGTGACAGTCCATTTCTGTAGTAAATGTGTCGTATACTGCAGCCGCCCCCCTAAATTTCCACAAATTGAAAGTCTGGAGCCAGTGACCTTGGGCAAGTTACTTCACCTCTCTGCTCCGTTTCTTCTTCTGTAAAGTGGGGATAATAATTAGAACCACCTTTATAGAGTCGTAAGGATTGAAAGAATTAAGTGCTTAGGAAGTGTTTTGCACACAGTGCTAAATGTTGTAGCCAGCGTCACTAGCGTAGTCATCACTGTCATCATCCAGTCCCTCACTGGTTTAAGGTAGTCTTCAGGCAACATCTTTGTGCTTTAAAGCATTGTTATATTTAGGATTGCTACCTTAAGGCAGGGTCCCAGAAGAGGAATAACTGAAAGAAGGAATAGAAATGTATTTTAGGGCTCTGGTATATACTCCCAAAGAGGGCTTCTGATAGCCCTTTTTGTGCCTTTGTGTGCACTATGGAGAAGTCACCCCTTCTCCAACGCCCATTACTGCATCTGTCGCAAACTTCAGTAGTGTTACAATTTTCTTAGAACAAGACGCTCTGCTGCCATCTGCTATCACACAGTAGAACTCTATAATAAAAATACAAACATACAGCGTATATGGTGTGAGTGACACCCCCTTGGCTGGGGTACTTTTACACGGTGTCAGTCTGCACAGGTGCCGCGCTGCCCTGTTGCCAGACTAAATCCAGATCGTGTGGGGTAGAGTCCCGGCGTGGGCACTCTTCTGATGCTCTGCTGGTGGCTCCAGTGTGCAGGCAGGGTTGAGAACCACTGATCCAGAAGTTAACAACTGATTGTTCAGTTACAACAGTTCTCTTTGGAAAGTATGGCAGCAGATTGTCTGTATAAGTCAAAGAATATTTTGAGTCATGAATGTGGACTCCATAGAATACTGCCTACCACCACCCTAAAAAGATAACCAGTGCTCATAAAGGTAACCCAGTAGAACATGGTCACCTTGAATCAGTTACAGTACGGGGCCCATGCAGAGTTTTAGAAGTCGTGCCTAAGGAAAAGTCTTAATTTTCTGATCCTGTATGAGCCATAAACTTGTGTGAAGATGCATTTTTGAAATGTCTTTTTACCTACAGTGTGCTGACCAAACAAGGGAGATGGAGCACTGGTTCGAATGCGACCAACTGGGTCCAAGTTAAAAATGTATGCCAATTAGAGTCTGAAGAGAAGCAAGTGAGAATAGCAGCAACTAGTAACACAGTGAGTAGATTATAATTAAAGTGTGAATGACATTTTTTAATTAAAAAAATTTTATTTAGAAAGCAATACCTTAGTCATTCAGAACAGCTGTCCTAATGGACTTAAGACATCAAATCTTTTTTTTTTTTGGCCATTTGACTGTTGCTTGTTTACCTATATGCACCTTCAGCATTTAAGAATGTGTCAAAGCCTAGAATTGAAAAGTAGGAGTTATGTGTTTAATTAGTTTGTGGAATCTTCTGGTGTTGACATACATTCTATTTTCAAGGGTCATTTCTGTATTTTTTAAACCAGGTATGTGAATGTTTTCCTTTTCTTTTGTGTTGTGTTGTGTTGTTTTTTTAGTTTATCTTAAATTGCTCTACATTATACTCCATGCTGTATTCAAAGCCAGCTGCTCTTAAAAGGGACTTCCTTCTGCTTTCCATTTGAAGGCGATGGTAGTGAACTGTGCATGTAGAAATTTTTGAAATGGTGTACCTTTGGCTATGTATATTTTCACCAAAAAAAAAGGTCGAGAAAGGAGAGGGTTGACATGTCGTGGGGTTGTTAACCAATGTCATAAAACAATGTGTGTACTACTGTTTAATGAGAAACTATTTGTTCCGATGTCTCAGGAGCCATCTTTTTATATTTACATAGTTCCAGTTCAGTTTTGTTTTATTTTGTTTCTTTATGTAAGAAGTTAAAAGAAACATATTGGAATGTCTTTTTCTTTGATAAAATATTGTAATTTTTAAGGTGCATGCGCATTTGTTGGTACAGTAGAGGGTGCCCCTGTAGCTCAGGAGACCCATTTCCCTGACACCAGGTGGGAGTATTTGGTGAAGTCCTTTGTTACTTCAGCCTGTTTCTGCCGTGGCAAATCGGGGGACTCTGAGGAGAGGCTCTAGTGGGTGATCTCTGACATCACTTTACCCCTAAATTTCCAAGATTTTATGCCCTAGAGGAAAGTAGCCTGAACTAAAAAAAAAAAAAAAAGACTAAGATAATCGAAATAGAAATTTTAAATTTTGCCCATGGATTGGTATTGTACATTTCTAGATAATTTATGCTTTAGTGGCCCAAATCTATCACGCTGAACGTAAAGAGCTTTGGCGGCCTGCTTTGTCTTTTGTTTTCTTTCGTCAGGAAGGTTAGTGTTTTCTCAGCGTTTTGTCTTTCCAGGTGGGATTGTGTCATTAGTTTTCTGCAGGTGTCATTTCTGTTCCAGTGAACGTCAATTTTGTAAAAATTAACTGTTCAGTTCTGAGATTTTGGAGTGTTTCGTTTTGTTGAAAGAAAATGAAGTTTAGGGATGGAAAACACTTTTTTACACGTAGGCAAAACACGCTGATATTCTTCCTTTTCCTCTTCTTCCATTGTTTTCAACTTATACACAGTCATTAGTTTCTTTCTCTATTTTAGGTGGTGTTTGATATTCGAATTAAAGCCATAAAGGAATTAAAATTAATGAAGGAACTAGGTAATCATTTACATTTGCTTTTTGGTTTTTTGATTTAATTCAGTTTTGTTTTGATTTTAAAAAAATAAAAAATGGAAGAGTACAAAAGTAATGTTGGGAAAACTCGTATACCTACCACCCAAAATGGACAAATGTTAGCATTTTGTCATGTGTTTGTTTTGTTTACAACATTGCAAATCGATTTAAAGTCCTCTGTGTGCTCTTCCTCAGACCTGTGCTCTCCCCTCCCTGGATGCCGCCAGTGTCTAGTCCATGTATCCATCTCGTATTATATATATACCATATTTACATATGTTTTTATCTGTGTATATTTCTTAATTTACATAAATTCTGTCATGCAGGATATAACATTCTACAAACTCACTGTTTGCTCAGTGTTAGGTTTTCCTTAATAACTTTATTGAGGTATAATTTATATACCATAAAATTCACCCATTTGAAGTATACACGTCAGTGATTTTCTGTAAATGATCAGAGTTTTGTAACTATTACCATAACCCAGTTTTAGTACATTTCCATCATCCCAAAAAGATCTGTCATCCCCATTTGTAGATGATCTCCATTTTGAGTGCCTGGCAACTACTGATCTGCTTTCTGACTCTGTAGACTTGCTTTTTCTGGCCGTTTCATGTAAATGAAACTATATAATACGTAGTCTCGTGTCTGGCTTCTTTCACTTAGTATACCATTTTTTGAGGTTCAGCTGTGTTTCAGCAGGTATCGACACTTTGTTCCTTTTTATCAGTTGTTCCTTTTATACTCTTCTATGAATAGATCACATTTTGTTTATCCATTTACCAGTTAATGGGCATTTAGCTTGCTTCCATTTTTGGGCCTTTACGAATAATGCTACCGGGAACATTTGCATGTACGTCTTTCTGTGGACATCTGTTTTCATTTCTTTTGAGTAGATATCCAGGATTGGTATTGCTGAGTCATGAGGTGACTCTGTGTTTAACCTTTTGAGGAACTGCCACATTTTATATTTTTAAAGGGTTATTTAAAAAAAGAAGAAGAAATAGACAGTTTGTGGCTCACAAAGCCTAAAATTTTACAGTGCAACTAAATAACAAAAATAGGTGCTCCGTATATAGTCAGTTGACTTTCAGCAAGAGAACCAAGATATTCCAGTGGAGAAAGTATTTTTTCAACAGATAGTGCTCGAACAATGGGATCTCAATATGCACAAAAATGAACCTCTAGTTTTACCTCATACCATGTAAAAAATTAACTCAAAGTGGATCGTAGACTTAAATGTTAATACTTAAAGCTCTACAATTTCTGGGAGAAAATACAGGAGAATATCTTTGTTACATTACCATATGCAGGGAGCCCTGTTTTTAGATAGGACATAAAACGTATACAAACCATGGGGGGAAAAAACAAATTGATTGAACTACCCCAAAATTAAGAACTTCTTCTCTTCGAAAGGCATTATGAAGGAATTGAAAAAGCAAGCTACAGATTGGGAGAAAATATTCATAAAGCGCATATTTGAAAGTGGACTTGCATCCAGAATATATAAAAAATACTTGCAACCTAATAAGAAGGTGAGCAACCCAACCCAAATTGAGAAGATTAAACGGACAGTTTACAAAAGTACACCTATCTGTGAATGACCAATAAGCACAGAGAAAAATGGTCAGTATCGTTAACTACCAGGGAAATGCAAATTAAAATCACAATGACATACCACTATAACCCAGTAGAATGGTTAAAATACTGACAAAACAGAATGTTAGCAGAGGTGTGAAGCAACTGGAACTCCCATATATGGCTGATGGGAGTGTGAAATGGTACAGTCACTTTGGAAAAGAGTTTGCTTATTTCTTATAAAGTTAAACATATACTTATCAGTTGTACTCCTATAGATATTTACCCAAGAGAAATTGAAACATTTGCACATACGTGTTTATATCCAAAAGTGGAAACAACTCAAATGTTGAGGAGTGGGGGAAGGGATAAACAAATTGTAGTGTATCCATACAGTGGAATACTGTTTACTGTTTATCAATCAGAAACAATGAACTACCGCGACATGCGAAACATGGATGAATCTCAGAAACATACCAAGCAAAAGAAGCCAGACACAAAAGAGTACATACTGTATGATCCTATTTATATGAAATTCTAGAAAAAGCAAGTCACAACTATAGTGACAAAAAAGAGGAAGATCCTCAACGAGATGGATTGGCACAGTGGCTACAATAGTGGGCTGTAGCAGAGCAGTGATTGTAAGGATGGTACAGGACTGGGCAGTGTTTTGTTTTGTTGTACACAGGGTCACTGTGAGTGGGAAGTGACTTGACGGCACCTAACAACAGCAAAGCTATAGTGGCATAAGGCAGATCAGTGATGGGGTGGGGTGGGGATTGATTGTAAAGTAGCACAGGGAATTTTGGGAGGTGATGGAATTATCTACATTTTGATTTGCTGGTGATTATTTGGATGTTTGTGTATTTGTCAAACTCCTTGAACTGTACGTGTAAAACAGCTGCATTTTGTTATAAGTAAATTATGCCTCAATAAGGTTGATTAAAAGTACTTGGTTTAATGTGTGCTGACTGTTTAATGAGAAACTATTTTGTTCTGTAAACCTTCATCTAAAGTGAGAATGGCAGCACAACTGGAATAACATAATCGACATCACTGAACTGTGCATGTAGAAAGTTTTGAAATGGTGTACCTTTGACTATGTATATTTTCACCAAAAAAAAAAAAAGGTTGAGAAGGGAGAGGGTTGACATATCGTGGGGTTAACCAATGTCATAAAACAATATGTATACTACTGTTTAATGAGAAACTATTTGTTCTGTAAACCTTCACCTGAAGTACAATTACATACACACATACATACACACACACATACGCACACACACACACATACACACACACACACATACATACATACGTTAAAAAAAAAAAGTACTTGATTTAGGGGGAAGATGGGCCTGGGCTCCTAGAAGCATGTTTCGCCATTTATTTCACCCAGGATACAGACCCAGAGTTGGGCCCTGGGGTTGCTGAGAAGTCAGGTGTCTCAAACCTCTGTGCCGGAGGCTGCCAGCCTTCTACTGTCGTAGTGAAAAGAGGGTCCTGGGGGCCTGCCAGCTCACCTGTCACACCCCACACAGAAGCAGAGGTGGGACCCCATGGCGGCCTGGCGGTTCCCTGCAACCCCCAGATGAGAGTGCCCCTGAACAAGTTACCCTAGTGGGGCCCTAAGGCCGGAACCTTCACCCCAGCCGCCCAGCAATCACATCTAAGGGACCTGCAGTTGGCATTGCTCTTGGCACCACCTTCTCCTTTGTGGGTGTCTTCCAGCATGGAAAAGTGGAGATAATAGTAAATGATCAGAGCAACTGAACCACCGCAAGCTATGTCGCTTTTACTGATACTGAACGATTGATTGGTGATGCCGCAAAGAATCGAGTTGCAGTGAATCCCACTAACACAGGTTTTGTTGCCAAACGTCTTATTGGACAAAGATTTGATGATGAAGTTGTCCAGTCCGATAGGAAGCATTGGCCCTTCATGGTTGTGAATGATGCAGGCAGGCCCAAGGTCCAAGGAGAATAGACGTGAGAGACCGAAAGTTTCTATCCAGAGGAGGTGTCATCTGTGGTTCTGACAAAAATGAAGGAAATTGCAGAAGCCTACCTTGGAAGGACTGTTACCAGTGCTGTTGTCACTGTACCAGCCTACTTTAGCGACTCTCAGCGTCAGGCTGCCGAGGATGCTGGAACCATTGCTGGCCTCGGTGTACTGAGAATCGTCAACGAGCCAAGCGCTGCTGCTCTTGCTTATGGCTTAGACAGAAAGTTGATGCTGAAAGAAATGTTCTGATCTTTGACTTAGGAGGTGTCAGTCCTCACTATTGAAGGTGGAATCTTTGAGGTCAAATCTACAGCTGGAGACACCACTTAGGTGGAGAGGACTTTGACAACAGAATGGTGAACCATTTCATTGCCGAATTCAAGCGCAAGCATAAGAAGGACATCAGCGAGAACAAGAGGGCTGTCCGTCGCCTCCGCACCGCTTGTGAACGTGCAAAGCGCGCTCTTGTCTTCCAGCACCCAGGCCAGTATTGAGATTGATTCTCTCTATGCCTCCATTACCCATGCCCAATTTGAAGAATTGAATGCTGACCTCTTCCGTGGCATCCTGGACCTTGTGGAGAAAGCCCTTAGGGATGCCAAGCTAGACAAGTCACATCCATGACGTTGTCTTGGTGGGTGGTTCTACCCGTATTCCCAAGATTCAGAAACTCTTTAGGATTTCTTCAGTGGAAAAGAATTGAACAAGAGCATCAACCCTGATGAGGCTGTTGCTTATGGTGCAGCAGTCCAGGCAGCCATCTTATCTGGAGACAAATCTGAAAATGTGCAAGATTTGCTGCTCTTGGACGTCACTCCTCTCTCCCTTGGTATTGAAACTGCTGGTGGAGTCGTGACTGTCCTGACCAAGCACAATACTACCGTTCCTACCAGGCGGACGCAGCCCTTCACAACCTACTCTGACAACCAGCCTGGTGCTCATTCGGGTTTATGAAGGTGAGCATGCCATGACCAAGGATAACAGCCTGCTTGGCAACTCTGAACTCACAGGCATACCTCCTGCACCCCGTGGTGTTCCTTAGATTGAGGTCACTTTTGATATTGATGCCAGTGGTATCCTTAATGTCTCTGCTGTGGATAAGAGTACTGGAAAAGAGAACAAGATTACCATCACTAATGACAAGGGCCACTTGAGTAAAGAAGACATTGATCAGGGACAAGGTGTCTTCTTAGAATTCGCTGGAGTCCTATACATTCAACATGAAGGCAGCAGTTGACGATGAAAAACTTCAAGGCAAGCTCAATGATGAGGACAAACAGAAGAGATTCTTGACTAGCGTAATGAGATTATCAGCTGGCTTGGTAAGAGTCAGACGGCCGAGAAGGAAGAATTTGAACATCAGCAGAAAGAGCTGGAGAAAGTCTGCAACCCCATCATTACCAAGCTGTAGCAAAGTGCCGGAGGCATGCCTGGAGGGATGCCTGGGGCCTTCCCTGGTGGTGGGGCTCCTCCATCTGGTGGTGCCTCTTCTGGACCCACCATTGAAGAAGTTGATTAAGCCAATCTCTGAGCAGAGATACCTCAGCATTGTTCCACAGTAAAAAATTAAAGGACCCAAATTTGTTGTACATTCAGTGGAAGTTTTAAAAGTTATGCTGCCATACTAAATTTCTGGGTATTCTCAATACTTGAATATGGAATATGCATAGGGAAAGGAAGTCAGTACTGCACTTCACTAGCACTGTACTGTAAGTGGAAAATACAATGTCTTAAATAAAACTATTTATTTAAAATTGGCAAAAAAAAGTACATGGTTTTTTAAAATGAATGAATTATTGTTTTTCCCCTGTAACTTGTCCCCGCTCTTCCACTCTTCACTCCCCTCCAAATCATTCTTCATATAGCCAGTGATCTTCTATGTCAGTTAGAGTGTATCACTCCTCTGCTCAAAGCCCTTTAGTGCTTTTCCGTTGAATTTCGGATAATTCCTTAACCTAGCCTACAAGAACCTGCATAACTAGTGCCTACCTAACCAACCTCATTGTGATCCACCTTTCTGCTTATTCACAGTGCACTTCCCGTGCTGACTTTCTGTGGGTCTCTCAGTGCACAAGCTCTTTTCCCCCTGGAGACTTCTCAGAGCTCTGCTCTCTCTCTCTGACCTCCCTTCCCTTCCCTGCGTCTCCTAACTCAGTCATTCATTTGGTCTCAGCTGAAATGTTACTTCTCTTTATCCCTGTCCACACAATCCCAGTGAATCTCCATTTTCCTCTTTCCTCGTGCCCTGTACTTTGCCTTCACAGCACCTCCTGTTGTCTCGACCTCTGTACTAGCAAGATTGACATCTGCCTTGCCCATCAGGCAAGGCTCTTTGAGGGCAGAGGGCAGGGTGCTTTTGCTTCTTACTATATCCCCAACTGCTAGCACAGTGTCTGACACACAGAATTACACAGTAATAAGTACTTGTTGAATGAAAGTGAAAAAATTTTAAGGAAACGGTATTTAAAATGCATTTTTAAAATGAGGAACTCATTAGAATTATATGCTAGATTCACATTGTGATACATTAGGTATTGAACTCAGGAATCTCAGAAAGATTCTGCTGTGGTCTAATAAAGTCAGAATTTCTAAGGCCCATACTGTTTTTAACCACTCAAAAGGCCCCCCTCCTCCCGAAATCCTCCTTAAGAAATCTATTTGGACAAAAACCTGATGTGCATCCTCAAAAAAACTGGCCCTAATCCATTGATGAGCATAAAGAGTCACCTAATATTTTAAATCTGGGTACTCTGCTTTTCACAGTTCTGATATGCATGGATTTTAGTTACCTTGGCTTAGTTAAATAACATCGGTGCCCCAACAGTATGGCTCAAATTTTAGCTACTATGGTATTAAATGTGAATAATTGCTTAAAGTACAAAGCCCACAAATCAGGACATAAACAGCAGGTGCACATCATGACAGTGACAGATCACATCACTTATTTGCATATCTGTTATCTTAACCGCACAGACAGCAAAGTGTGTAGTCATATTGCTTCCTTTTCTCCCAGCGATAAACACACATGACATTTTACAAAAATGGATAATCACAAAAGGGAGTTGGCCAACAAAAACAAAAGTGCAGTGAAGAAACAAGTGTCTGGGGTTATAGAGGACGAAGCTGACAGCAGGAATGTTGCCGCTGTTCAAGAGACTCTAAATCTGCGGCCGGAAAAACTTAATGAAGGCGAGCTTATCGACGTAAATGAGGAAGGTGGTTGTGATGAGAAGGATGAAGTCCCAGGGGAAGTGACATCAACAAACAGCTCCACGTCAAAGGAACTCTTGAAGATATTTCATGGCATTGAAAATGCAGAAGATAAAATGTCAGAAGCTAGCCCAGACTTAGAAAGGAGTAGGACAGTTTGCCAAGACGAAAAGATGCTGCCTCCATACTGGAAATTGTACAATAAGAAGAAGAGAGCAGGCCCTGTTTAAACTACTCTTGATAAGTTCTTTTGTTTTTCTTACGAAGAAACACTTTAATTCTCAGTGTTTCTGCTGTTTTCAATTACAGTGTAAATCTTTTTTTTTTTTCATTTTCTTATACATGTATCATCAACAGTAAAAGAGTTTTTAATGTTTTGACAAATTTATACAGGTCACGAAACAATCATAATTTTTCCCATTGATTAAGATGACTGTGCATGGTTTCAGCTTGCCACGGGCATTTTTATGGTTCTGTACTAGTGTGCAAAGCGGAGGCTGCCTGTACGTGGTTTTGTTAGTTTGTTGTAGCTTCCTGCTAATTAACACAGTAGAGCATCTCCTTAGTGTCTTTGTTCTTTTCACTAACCTGCTCCTTTTTATTTATAGCTGAGAACAGCTGTTTGAGACCTATTGATAGAAATGGGAAGCTTCTTCCTCCTGGTAAGTCTTTTTAGTAGCCTTCAAAAGCAGAGGTACACTTATACTGTCTATCTTTCTTAACCCTGTGACTTTAAACAGTGATTTCCCATACCTAATATTCTTAAATTACCTTTTAGAAACTGATGTGTAGGCTATATTGTCATCCAGGCATCTTCCGCATGTAATCACAGGAGCAGTGTAGCCAAAACACCAACACTTGCCTTCTGACATGAACCCCTGTCTTTCCGATAACGAGGTCCTCATCTTGGTCGGGGCTGTGGTCTAGTGAGGCTTTCCAGCCTTATTCTCAAAGGTTTTTTTTTTATTTGTTTTGTGGACTTTATTATGATACCAGTTATGGACTGGAGCCTTCGGTCCTCCTGACGTAATTCATCCTGCCATTAATTCATTCCCAGACAAACCTAGCTCCTGACGGCAGTCACAATAGCAGCTTTAAACTTGGAGGAAGCTAGTAGATCATTCTAGACATTTTTCTCAGTTCTGAATACCTGGCTCTTAATCTGTGTGAACCACAGCTCTTTGAATAAGTCATTTTTAATAGGTATGAATCTAGAACACTCATATCTGCCTCCTCTTAGCGCTGTTGCACAGATAACAAGAGTTATATATTCTACAGTATGGAAATTGAGAAACATAACCATACTATATTTAACCCTTTTGCATGATGTACAACTCTTTTTTTTTTCTTTCTTAATACTGTTGATTTTCAAAGAAAGACTGATTTCAGTATATTAGTTTGCTCAGAAAGGTAGGAATTAATAGTATTCATCATGTTATCAAAATTCTTTACAGTGCCAGACAGTTACACTTTGAAGGAAGCAGAATTGAAGATGGGAAGCTCATTAGGGCTGTGTGTTGGAAAAGCACCCACTTCCACTCAGGTAAAATAAGGTTGCCTCTCCCAACAAACTCAACCCATCCACAACTAAAACTTCTTCGTTTTACAGTTAGTGCCCAACTACTGCAGTAATTTTGTTATTCTCTAAATGTTTTCTTTTCCTTAAATGATACATTTTATTTTAGGAATACATCCATATAGACGTCTGTGATGAAATAAAAAGATACTATGTCAAAGCATAGTCATATGGTCCTTTCTTAGTGAAAATTTTGTGGTTAAGGGAGACCTTTAAGGTTCAGTGGCCACCAGTTTCAACTACCATATTTCATAAATTCTTAGATGCACCTTTTTTTTTCTTCACATTTTAACGTCTCTGAAATTAGGATGCCTCTTGCAGTCATTGGCGTCTTGCATTTATAGCTGCCACCACTTTTCCTAGTGGTACATAAAATAATGAGTCTAGCAGTCTGGCATTTTAGATTTAATGAAATACATTATATTGATTTTGGACTTCATTACTGTCTGCAGTAATGTAATATCCTGACAGCAGCCTTCCTTTCCCTTTGTCTTTATCAGTGTTCATTTTCATCAGGTTGGCCTTTGCCAGAGTCCCTACCTATTTAATAAATTTTTATTACAGACCAAAAGTCATGATGATATCCTTACTGTTATTACTCTGTATCAAGGTAATCTGGACTCATATCAGGTTCCCCATGGTTCCTGGATCCACTTCGTAAATTTCCTAACTGCTTCTCCTTTAATATGCTTTTCTCTTGACCTCTAGCAAATAGTGGTGCATGACAAGCTGATAGGAGAAAAAGCCTGACAATTGAGGTTCAATTAGGAAAGAAAAATAGGGTTATATGGGACCCAGTTGATAAGAGATCAGATTTATATTTTTCCTGTGGGGTCTTGGGAATTACAGTATATGGAATCCCTCGACAGAAAATTAAATTATAACCAAAAGACTCAGAGAAAAAATAGCTAATGCTTAGTGTGTGTGGTAACAGATTCCTGTGGTGAGTGGTTGAGACGGAGATGGAGATTGTAGTAGAAATAATATCTGTGAGAAGTGTTCATTAGGAGTAAAACCACTGGTGATGAAGCATTTGGCATTTCCAGGAAGTCGTGATTACGGTTTAAATTTTAACGTTAAATTACCCAGCCTAGTCTTATTTTTACATAACATGAGATTTTTTATTAGTTTCATGGGCCCTTGGCTTTACTTTTTTAAGAAGTAAATAATACATTTACAGAATTTTAAAATTCAGGTTAAATTGTATTCATACTTCTGTCTTGATCTTAGCTGTTCCTGTTTTTCACTGTGGGGAGTGACGTTCAGCCAGGGACAGAGATGGAGGTCATAGTGGAAGAAACAGTATCTGTGAGAGACGTAAGTCATTTTGTTTGGTAGCTGGAGAAGTGGTGACCTGTGTTAGGCCTTTGAGGTCCTAAAGCTAGGGTTTACATAATATAGCGCAAAGAATTCTGTGTACTTTCTAAAGGAATAGTTTTGGCAAGCTTAAAAATTGGCAAACTAACTGCAGTTTTTAAAATAAAGATGACTATTACTTTTTTCCTTTTCTGATTATCAGTAGTACTTGTTCACTGTAGACATTGGAATACGCAGAAATGGGCAAAAAGAAAAAAATTAAAATCCCTTATTATACTTTATCCCACCATTGCTTTTGTTTTGGCATATTTTCTTCTGGTATTTTTACTCTCTCTACGCACACACCCACACAGAGGCCGTACTGGCCTCTTTGCTGTTCCTCAAACAAGGCCTTTACCCCAGCTCTTTCCCCTTCTGAGAACACAGTTGAGTTGAATGCTCAGTTGCTTGTTTTTCTTAAATTATGAAAGCCTTCTGGCTTAGTCATCTCGTGCTGCTATAACAGAAGTACCACAAGTGGATGGTTTTAACGAAGAGAAGTCTATTTCCTCACAGTCAAAGTAGGCTAAAAGTCCAAATTCCGGGCGTCAGCTCCAGGGGAAGGCTTTTCCTCTCTGTCGGCCTTTTTCTCTTCTGTGTTTCCCCGGACTAGGAGCTTCTCTGCGCAGGGACCCCGGTCCAAAGGACACGCTCTGCT